CACACACACACACTAACACACACACACACTAACACACACACACACGCACACACACACACACACACACATTTTGGAAGTTTCTCTGTGATTTTCGCAACTTTGGCTTTGAAATCTGTTTATTCTAAAACAATTGTTATTCATAAACAGTGGCGTCCTTTCTTTTAATATAAGTATATAGTTGCGCATCTTTACTAAGCTGAATATAATATGATACAAACATCTACACACACACACACACACCACACACACACACACACACACACACACACACACACACACACACACACACACACACACACGCGCGCGCGCATAGGTACATATGCACAGGTGTATTTACAGTATATATAAGGTGTGTGTGTGTGTTTGAGTGCGTGTGTATGTGTGTGTGAGAGAAAACTATAGCATTGGCACACGCGCGTGTACGCACACGAATTCAAATTAACGAATGTTTCTGTAAAACTCAATACAAAACAACAGTATTAGTAACGCACTCTTTCTTCCCCCCGCAGCGTGAGTGCATCTCATCCACGTCGGCCAGGCCGGTATCCAGATGGGCAATGCCTGCTGGGAACTTTACTGTCTCGAGCACGGCATCGCCCCCGACGGCTCCATGCCCTCCGACAAGTCCCTCGGAAGTGGTGACGATTCCTTCAACACTTTCTTCAACGAGACGGGCGCCGGCAAACACGTCCCCAGGGCTGTGTTTGTTATCTTGAGCCCTCTGTCGTCGGTGAGTTTGCCTGAGCGTTAGCGGAGTCTTGCGGTTTGTGCTTGATTGAATTATTGATAAAATATATACCTGATCATTAATCAGCCTTTGCCAAAGTATCTTTGCTGAGTCTTAAGCATTTACCTGTTTGTGAGTTTTCATAACCTCCGTACTTTGTCCCAGATGAGGTCCGCACCGGCACCTACCGCCTTCTGTTCCACCCCGAGCAGCTGATCAGCGGCAAGGAGGACGCGGCCAACAACTATGCTCGTGGTCACTACACAATCGGTAAGGAAATCGTGACCTAGTCCTGGACCGCGTCAGGAAGCTCGCCGACAACTGCACAGGTCTCCAGGGCTTCCTGGTCTTCCACTCCTTCGGCGGCGGCACTGGCTCCGGTTTCACCTCCCTCCTCATGGAAAGGCTCTCCGTCGACTACGGCAAGAAGAGCAAGCTGGAGTTCGCCATCTACCCCGCCCCTCAGGTCGCCACCGCCGTTGTCGAGCCCTACAACTCCATCCTGACCACCCACACCACCCTGGAGCACTCCGACTGCGCCTTCATGGTCGACAACGAAGCCATCTACGACATCTGCCGCAGGAACCTAGACATCGAACGACCTTCTTATGCCAATCTGAACCGTCTCATCGGCCAGATCGTCTCCTCTATCACTGCCTCCCTCAGGTTCGACGGCGCCCTCAACGTTGACTTGACTGAGTTCCAGACCAACTTGGTGCCCTACCCCAGGATCCACTTCCCTCTATCACCTACCCCCGTCATCTCCGCCGAGAAGGCTACCACGAGCAGCTTGCTGTGGCGAGATCCAACGCCTGCTTCGAGCCCGCCAACCAGATGGTCAAGTGCGACCCCCGCCACGGCAAGTTATGGCCTGCTGCCTGCTGTACCGTGGCGACGTCGTGCCCAAGGACTCAACGCCATCGCCTCCATCAAGACCAAGCGCTCCATCCAGTTCGTGACTGGTGTCC